TCGCTGAGGCCGACATGGCGGCTTAGAGATCGCAAGGGGCCTGGGGTCCTTCTGTCTTCTGCCACCCTCATCTTGTGGGTCAAGACAGCTGCTCCAGCTGGTCCCATCACTACACTGGAGTCAGCAGAGAGAGGACACTGGGATGGGGAGTCACCCTCCTCCATCTTTTTAAGGGCACATCCCAGAAACTGAACACAACTCTATTCATATCCCATTGGCCAGGATTTAATCACGTGGCCCATTTATCTGCAAGGGAGTCTGGGAAATGTAGTCTTTGCCATGTCAGAAAGGGAGATGTGATATCAAGGAGCAGCCTACAATTTTGCCAGGGCCACCGACTTGCTTGGGTCACTCAGCCTCATCTTTGAACCAACCTCCTACTGTCTGGACGACAAGCCCCGTGAGGTCTGGAGTGAGGTCTCTCTTGCTCATCACTGCGCCCTTAGAGTGCACTTCAGGGTCTGGCGCATGGGAGCCTTACTGTTGGCTGACTGTGGGTGATGAATGGACAGCATTCGGGCTTTCATAGGCGGGAGTAGCATTCTTCCTCGTTCATGGGTTTAAATTTTTTCCCTTTCCACGACTTCTGGCTCCACTCTCTACCCCTATCATCTCTGTGTGCCAAGCCTTTCTGAGTCTATGAAGTAAAATTGTGCTCTGAGCCAGAATCCAGAGTATGATTAAAAATAAATGAAAGTTGCATCAAAACAAGTTAACCACAAGAAATGGCCTTTCCAGGGTAGTTAGCGTTAGCACTGGAGGCCAAGCATAGAGGGCCAGGCTCTAATTACCAAGGACTGTTATCAACACCTCTACTATGCAGGGCAGAGAACAGGAGAGCCTGGTCTGCACCCCTCCATCACTGGCCCCCCACCACTGTAGAACAATAGGCAGGACCCTCCCCACAGTGGGAGGGAGAAGGAGTTCTAATTCCACCTTTGTCTCTACCTGTTGGAATGATGTTATGAAAATCCATACCTCCTGGGGCCAAGCATGGTGGCGCACACCTGTAATCCCAGAGCTTGGGAGGCTGAGGCAGGAGGATCACAAGTTCAAAGCCAGCCTCAGCAACTAACCAAGGCTCTAAGCAACTCAGCAAGACCCTTCTCTAAATAAAATATTTAAAAAGGGCTGGGGATGTGGCTCATTAGTTAAGTGCCCCTGGATTCAATCCCTGATACCAAAAGAAAAAAAATATATATGGGCCTTTTGAAGCCTCGGTTTCCTCATCTGTTAAATGGCAGGATCTGTAATCATTGATAATATTCAGATAATAATGGCGCCTAAATCAGAGACAGAGGATCCTCAGCATTGTCAGTTCACCCACCCTCATCTCAGTAACTTTTCCACTGTGCCAGGCCCCAAGAAATACCTGACATATATAAAAAGTGGTTAGGTTGAAACAACTTAGTAATATTTGCTTGCACAGCATCTGACAGATTGCCCTTTTGTTTCCCTCAGAAATGTAACTGTTTTTTTCTGCCTCTGTGAGTTTTCTGCAGTACCTGGGGGTGCCTTGGAACACAGTTTGGGAACTGCAGTCATAAAAAGGTTCTGGAGATGCTCTGAGGTCATGGATGCCCAGCAAGCCGCCTGGCGCAGAGTAAGCCATCCAGAAATGCTGGTTGTCCTCAATTATCCTTCAAGCCTGGTGCTCAGATCACCCTCTCGTCCTTCCTGGGTCTCCCACCACCGCCAGGCGGCACTACCTCCTGCGTCTAGCTCCTGCCCTGGGGTCCCTGTCGGCCAGCCTCCCTCGGGCCCCTCCAGGCCTGCAGCCCCCCTTTGCGCTGACTTCCCTCCCAGTGCAGGACGGGTGGCCCCACTGCTCTGCCTCTCCCTCACCTGCTCTCTTGGCACGACCTCTTTGTAGATGGCCCACGTCCTGGCCCCTCGGGTTTGGGGTCGGTGATGTGACTCACTGCCCGCAGGCAGGTGATTCTAGTTTAGGCCCTAAGTGACCTCATGCCATTCCACTTGTTCCTTTCTTCTCTGTCCCTGTCAGGAGGGGAACATGTCCCAGGCACCCAGTGATTCCAGGAGGGTGACAAGAGACCCGTGGGGCAGCCTCACACCTGCCGATGGGCAGCCTGAGGAAAGCCATGCCAGGCAGCCCACACGCTCACGAGCAAAAGTAAACCATGGCTGTGGCTGGAGAAGCACCCCCGACGGCCACGTGTTCACGACTTGACCCCCGCCTGCGGAGCCTCGTGTCTGAACCAGCTGATGGAGCCTCTTATAGTCTGGGTTCCAAGAGGTGAGGCCTGGTGGGCCTTATAGTCATATGAAGGGGATAGTGAGACCCTGGCCCCTCCTCCCTCTCCCTTCACGCCCCCCCCCTCTTCCTTTTCAGGAACCATGAGGTAAGCAGCGTATTCCAGCACACATTATGCTGCTTTGTCATAGTCCCAGGCAACAGGGCCAACTATGGGTTGAAATCTCCTAAACTGTGGGCCAAAATAAACCTTTCCTCTTTTTAAGTGGATTATCTCAGGTATTTTGGTACAGTAATAGAAAGCTAATTCAGTGATTATTTTGTTTGAAAAGTGTGGAGTTTGGGAGAGGTTTGTTATACAGTGTTCTAATTCTGTTTTGTTTTTATGGGGGGTGGGTGGGTACCAGAGATTGAACTCAGGGGCACTTCGCCATTGAGCCACATCCCCAGCCCTATTTTGTATTTTATTTAGAGACAGGGTCTCACTGAGGTGCTTAGCGCCTCATTTTTGCTGAGGCTGGCTTTGAACTCTTGATCCTCCTGTCTCAGCCTCCCAAGCCACTGGGATTACCGGTATGTGTCACCGCACCGACATACAGTGTTCTTGTAACAATCCAGCTTCACTATCTGTGGCAAACTCAGAGTCTCTGAGCTCAGCTCTGATTGGATCGTTTGGTTACCAACTCAGACACACAGCTCTTCAAATACAAGCCACCCAAGAACCCAGGGTCTGCCTCCTGACCAATCCGTGGGGGCCACCTGTGTGCAGCACCCACCTCTGCTCCAGGCAATTGTCCCATGACTACAGGGCCACAGGAAACGAAGCCTGGGGACCTACCTGGAGGGGCTCATGTCTAGTCCCTGTGTTCAGAAGGGGTGTGAACGGGGCCGGCGAGAGTTTCTCAGATCTTCAGTTCTGAAGAGTGACAGCTGAACCAGAATAGAATTGGCACATAGCATCTTGTCTGCACGTGGCAATGAGATGCACTCAGGCTGTAAATCCTACAGTACAAGGAACCTGAGGCTCCTTACAACTCAGGTTAGTAGTTATTTAGAGACATTTTGCCTGAAGAGGGAAAGGATAAAGCCCAGCTGTGAACAGAAAGTCTGATGGAGCCCGGGTTGGATCCCAGGCACCAGGGCCCCCAGTACAGCACCCATTTTTCTGCCTGGTAGTTCTGATGCTTGGAAGGAGCCCAGGTGCACCTCTGACCCACAGAGGCACTTCTCAAGTCTCCCTGGTTTCCTGGTTCAGGCTGCTGCTTGCTGATGGCGTCCTTGAAAGAACTCTCAGCCTCCTCCGGCTGGGTCCCAGCCTGTGCCCCGTGTCCCCTACCCACTGTTAGCTTTGTCTTCTGGGGCTACAATAAATTCATTTATAAACACTTCCTATAATTTTTACTTCTATGAATTCAATTGAGTTCTATTTCAAAAAAGTTTTAATAGCATCTTTTTCTGTGTTTTTGATTCTTTCTTGTGTGCCTTTCATTCTTCTCAGAATATTTTTTTTGATCTCCTTCATCTGCAGGGGGAAGAGGCACTGGATCCGGTGGTAGATGGGGTCCGCTGACTCTGGTCCACTGTGGGTTCTGTCATCCGAAGGCAGCTTTATTTGGGGGTTCTTGTGTCACCGGGGTTGAGGGAAAGTCCTTCCAACGCGTATCGAATTTGTTTTGTCCCTCACCCCAGGGGATCTGGGTGACAGACAGAACACAGCTATCTGGGATGACTGTGTCAATCCTCAGGGTTCCTGGCTCACATGGATAGAATGAATTTTTTAAGACCCTACATCAAAGTAGGTCTGATTTCTTTCCATGATAACATTAGCTTGATTATTGTTTGTTTCAATCTGCTAGAATATCAGCTCCAGGAAAGCAGAGACTTTGTCCCTCTGGTGTTGGGCTAGTGCCTAGAGCAGAACTTGGCACAGAGTGGATACTCAGTAAGTATTTATTGGAAGGGACAATTAAAGAATAACCACTTCATATTATCCTGTGAGAATATCTGGGAAGTCAGTTAGGACAGTTTGTCCCCCAAGTAGTAGACTGTCCAGTTACAAATGGGGTCTGTTCTTTCACCTAACAAATACATGTTGCTGCTGATTCCATGTCTCGATGACTTCCAATCCCTTTAATTCTCTTGGCCTTTGTGTTACAGTTGCAAGATGATTGCTGTAGCACCAGACATCACGTCTACATTTAAGGTAAAAGGAAGGGGGAGAAAGTAAATGCAAAGGGGAAAACATCAGAAACACTTTCCCTTTCGTTAGAAAGGTAGAAGAGTTTTCCTAAGGTCTAATGACAAATTTCTGCTTTGGTCTCATTTGTTAGGAATGGGTTTTGCAGGCATCTTAGAAGTAAGGGAATTTGGGACGTGAACATCTTCCTTTATCTAGACTCAATGGATAAGTGAAAAAGGGAGGGAGGGTCTGGACCACAGGTGGGATATCTACCCGCCCCCCCCAGAGGCATATACTTCACATATAAAGCACAAAACAAGCCCTGGGCAAGAGCACCTACTCACCTATTTCAAAATGACTGTTATTGTTATGCTTTAAAGCTTCACAGTCCCTGTCATCCCGCTGGCTTCTGGAACCAGCAGGCACGGAGGCACTCATGCCCCAGTGGTCCCCTCCCTTCATATTCGGTTTGTGCAAAGCACTCAAGCCCTTTAAAAAAAAAAAAAACACTACACTTTCCCATGTGAATTGCTTCCTGCTCCCATTTATTCCATCTTGAGTGACTTGGCCACCCTGCTGCCAGCTGAAGGAGGTTGGGGACTCTATGAGTCACAAGTCCCTCAGGCCCACAGCCGGATCATCATCAAGGTCTTCTCAAGGAGATGAAGGCAGCTGGAGAGCCAACCCCGGACCTCGGGCAGACCCTGGAATGGCTGAGACGGGAGCTGGTGAGGCTTTGCGTGACTTTCCCCCTGACACCCGCACCCCACGTTTCCAAGGTTTCCCGTCCCTCCTCTCAGGTGACCCATTGGACAGGGCAGAGGCTGCAGGCATCCCTGTGGGGACCAGCCACCCGGTGCATGATCGCAGTTTCCGGCCAGGGTAAGTGGGTCGCGGCCTACATAGGAGGCGTGTACCTGGTGTGTCCCTGGCACATCCATGTGGGCTGTTAACCCTGACCGCGGTGGACATGGAGCACGCCGCTGTCTCAGCCCAGATCCTCTAGAAAGCAGAGGCTCGGAGTTGAGGACCTAGCAAGGTGTTTGGAGGTAGGGGCCCAGAGGGACTGGGATGGCAGTAGGAATGCAGGCCAGAGCCCGTGCTCCTGGGGGGCGGGGTGTTACGAGCTGGCTCCCACTTCAGAAGTGGCTAAGGAGGGTCTCTCAGCAGGTGGCCTACCAGCTCAGGACTTCTCTGCAGGGCTGACTCAGAAACTGTACCTTGGAAGAGAGAGAAAGGGGAGGAAATCTCCCTCTCCAGGAAACATCTCCTGTGTCTCATTTCCAGTGGGTAAAGATCCACCCCACGGGGTGCAAAGGCTCCTGAATGAGTATGTCATGTTACTTGGTGGCTTGGTGGCTCTCAGGACGCTAGGCCTTATACCCTTCACTGGGTGTTTTTGCAACACAAAAATAAAGGAGTACTCCAAAGTATGGGGGCCACCAGCCGAGAGAGAGGAGGAGGCGGGTCTGGGAACCTCAGGGAGGGCTTGGATTCCAAGACAACTTCTTCTTCTCCTGGGGAAGGACAGACAGGATTGTCCTGTGATATTTCCGGGTGGCTAGGGATTGGGCCAGCGGGGACCTAACCCTGTCTTCGCCCTCAGAGGGAGTAGCTGGAGCCAGCAGAGGGGACTGCAGTTTCTCACATCCACAGGCGCTGGGCCTCCCGGGGTCACCCAGGGTGAGTGCCTATGCCAGATTGCTAGGTGCCGGAACCCAAAGTGCCTGTTTTCTCCATAGAACAAAAGCAAGGGAACCTCCCAGGTCCAAGCCCCTTTCTCCCCAGGGTGCCAAGAGATGAGAGGCCCCTTGAGCCTCCTCTTGCAAATCCCTGACATCTTGATCATATGAAATTTACATGAACCCATAAGAGCTCCTTGGGAGCCCACCCAAGAAGCCCCTTTGACCTTGTCAGGGGAAGGGCCTGCACCAGACTGTCATTTTATGCAGCAAGGAGAACAGATGGTCAGCAGCCACCACAGGCAAAAAGTCAGGGCTCTTCCTCTTTTCCTGGGATCCTGTGAGCTCCAGAGTCTTGGTGGGTCTCCAGGAGGAGAGAGAGCCACAGGCATTCATGGCAAGAAGGTAAACCAGCTCGATGCCCCAGTGCCCGACCATGTGGCAGCAGGACAGAGATCCACTGCAGAGGTTGAAGACACTTCTGCTGTGGCAGCCTGTCCTCAAGGTTTACATTCCTCAAAGTCAAAGGCATCGTGTCTGGCACCTCCCTTCACATTGCTGTGATGCCAGGAGGCCGAGGCAGGAGGATTGCATGTTCGAGGCCAGCCTCTGCCCCTTAGCTGGACCCTGTCTCAAAATAAAAAGGGTTGGAGAGATAGCTCAGTGGTAAAGTTCCCCTGGGTTCAATCCCCAGTATCCAAAACAAAACAAAACAAAACCCCCACATCTCTGCATCTCTGCATCTCTGCCATGCTGGGTACATACTCAGACAAAAAGATGTGTGTGGGGAAATCCTTCGAGAAAACACACCCTGAATGCTTTCCTGGGAGTTGGGAAGGGAAGGTCCTAGACCACTGGGGGGTGGCCTGTGGGATCCCAGGGTTCTCCAGGACACAGTCCACGCTCCACCCGAGGGTTCTCTTCCTCCTGGCAGTACTAGTAATGCTCGAGCAGCAGACACTGGCTCGGTCTTCTCATTTGTAAAGTAATCACAAAAATTAAACTGATTCTTTTTCATTGAATATTTTATTTGTCCTTTTTAGTTATACATGACAGTAGAGTGTATTTTGACATATCATACATCCATGGAGTGTAACTTCCCATGTTGTGGTTGTACCTGATGTGGATTGCACTGGTCGTGTATTCATATATGGACATAGGAAAGTTATGTTCAATTCATTCTACTGTCTTTTCCATCCTCAACCCCCTTCCTTTAGCCTAACTCCCCCTGTCCAATCTGATGAACCTCCCCACCACCCCTCCTACCTATTATGAGTCAGCATCTGTATATCTGAGAGAACATTCAGCCTTTGGTTTGGGGGGATTGGCTTATTTCACTTAACATGATAGTCTCCAGTTCCATCAGCTTACCTGCGAATGCCATAATTTCATTCTTCTTTAAGGCTGAGTAATATTCCACTGTGTATATATATATCACATTTTCTCTATCCATTCATCTGTTAAAGGGCACCTAGGTTGGTTCCATGGCTTAACTGTTGTGAATTGAACTGCTATAAACATTGATGGGGCCATGTCACTGTAGTATGTTGATTTTAAGTCCTTTGAGTATAAACTGAGGAGTGGGATAACTGGGTCAAATAGTGGTTTCATCCCAAGTTTTCAAAGGACTCTCCATACTGCTCTCTAGAGTGGTTGCAACAATTTGCAGTCCCATCTGCAAGGTATGAGTGCACCTTTCCCCCTACATCTCGCCAGCTTTTATTGTTGCTTGTATTCTTTTCTTTTCTTTTTTTTGGTTGTAGTTGGACACAATACCTCTATTTATTTATTTATTTTTATAGGGTGCTGAGGATTGAACCCAGTGCCTCACATGCACTAAGCAAGCACTCTACCACTGAGCTACAATTCCAGTCCTGCTTGTATTCTTAATAATTGCCATTCTGACGGGAATAAGATGGAATCTCAGCATAGTTTTAATTTGCATTTCTCTAATTGCTAGAGATGTTGAACACTTTTTCATATATTTGTTGACTGATCATTTTTCTTTTTCTGTGAAGTGCCTATTCAGTTCCTTTGCCTATTTATTGATTGGGTTATGTTTTGGGGGGTGGGGTGTCAGGTTTTTTTTTTTTTAAGATAGGGCGGGGGGGGAGAGAGAGAGAGGTTTGTTTTTTTTTTAATATTTATTTATTTATTTATTTTTAGTTTTCGGCAGACACAACATCTTTGTTTGTATGTGGTGCTGAGGATCGAACTCGGGCCACATGCATGCCAGGCGAGCGCGCTACTGCTTGAGCCACATCCCCAGCCCAAGGGTGTCAGTTTTTTTTTTTTGAGTTCTTTATTTATCCTGGAAATTAATGCTCTATCTGGGATGCAGGTGGCAAAAATTTTATCCCATTCTGTAGGCTCTGTCTTCACATTATTGATTGCTGTGAAGAAGCTTTTTAATTTGATTCCATCCCATTTATTGATTCTTGATTTTACTTCTTGTGCTTTAGGAGTCTTATTGAGGAAGTCTGTTCCTACGCCACGTAATGGAGATCTGGGCCTAGTTTTTCTTCTGGTAGACACAGGGTCTCTGGTCTAATGCCAAGGTCCTTGATCCACTTGGAGTTGAGTTTTGTGCAGGGTGAGAGATAAGGGTTTAATTTCACTTTGTTACTATGGATTTCCAGTTTTCCCAGCACCATTTGTTGAAAACATGATCTTCTCTCCAATGTATGTTTATGGCGCCTTGTCTAGTATGAGATGACTTGAAATACTTCTTTTTTTTAATCTTACTTTATTTTATTGTGATGCTGGGGATTGAACCAGCCCCTCCTGCACTCTAGCCAAGCCCTCTACCACTGAGCTACATTCTCCGGCCCCTAAAATACTATTCTTAATAGAGAAATAATGTCACTAATTATCTCTTATTAAAAGAGACAGAGAGGGGTTGTAAATCTGCATATCTAATCATACATTATGCCTTGACCAGAATCAAGAGCGAAGCCTGGGAACTCTTCCCAGTGTTGGCCTCCGGGGAAGAGACTTGAACTACAGGAGCGGGTGGGGTGGGAGCGAGACTTTTAACAACAGTGGTCCTTTGTATCTGCAGGTTTCATCCACACCCATTCAACTAACCACAGATTGAAAATATGGAATTCAATTGAAAAACTGTGTCTCTACTAAAAATATATAGACTTATTTCTCGTCATTGTTCCTTTTTTGTTGTTGTTGTTGTAGTTGGACACAATGCCTCTATTTATTTATTTATTTTATATGGTGCTGAGGATTGAACCCAGTGCCTCACATGCGCTCTACCACTGAGCTACAATCCCAGTCCTGCTTGTATTCTTAATGATTGCCATTCTGACGGGAATAAGATGGAATCTCAGCATAGTTTTAATTTGCATTTCTCTAATTGCTAGAGATGTTGAACACAGTATAACAGCTATTTACACGACATCTACATTAGATTTGGAATTATAATTATTCTAGAAGTGATTTAAAGGCCATAGGACTGTGTAGGTTAGATGAGGGGCTTGGGCATCCTTGGATGTTGGTATCCCTGGTGACCTGGAATCCCCCAGGGACCACTGTACATACCCTTGTGTGGCTATTAAATGTTGTATCATGTGTAAAAATTACTGACTCAGAAAATAAAATCTGAACATTTAAAATGATGAGGTAAAGCAGAGAAAAACTTATGAAAAGGTAATTCTTAGGGGAACAAGGGAGAAGGCCAGAGGTGAGTGAGTGACAGCACTGGGGTCCGAGGGAGCAGGACCCCTCGATGCTTGTCAGAATGATTAAGGACACCAAGAAGAAGCCCTTGTGTGCGTGAATTATATCCATCAATATTGACTAAATTACAAAAGAAATGGAGAAATGTTTAATATTTATTTACTTATGCATTTAAAAATAACAAACTCATTAAATGTTAATAAAATATTATTAATTTAAAACAACTATCTTTTGAAGCAGATATTTAGTGAGAAGTGTGGTATCATTTTATATTGTTGCATGACAGCTGGATTCTCCTCTGCTTCTGCCTCCAATCTGTTAAGATAGTACATGTGGCCTGGTGTGGTGGTGCAGGCCTGTGATCCCAGCGGCTTGGGAGGCTGAGACAGGAGGACCACGAGTTCAAAGCCAGCCTCAGCAATGGCGAGGGCTAACAACTCAGTGAGACCCTGTCTCTAAATAAAATACAAATAGGGCTGGGGATGTGGCTCAGTGGTCAAGTGCCCTGAGTTCAATCCCTGGTTACCCCCCCTCCCCCCAAAAAAGGGATAGTACATGTAATAGCTTCTAGAAAACTCCACCATTCACTGATAAGAACATAAAAGTGAATAATTGAAATAACGTTAGTATTGTAATAAAAGTAGTTTTGGCTTTGCTGATCCCAGAAAAGGATTTTGGGAACCGGGGAACCCAGACCTTATTGGGAATCATTGTTCCAAAGGGCTCCAGCCTGGTGAGTTGACTTCACTTTGTTTTAATATGAAAGAAACCCTGATCACCTTAACCCCTGTGCAATGATTTGATGGCGATCGTGGAGTTTCACACATCACATGCTAAAGCTTGTTTTCGGGTGGAGAATTCACTCAGTCCTCATAAGAGCCTTGGAATATAAGTAATTTGCTTTCTTCTTTGCAGATGAAGACACTGAGGCTTCGGTGGGTATGGCTTCTGCTGGGTGGTGCTAGGGACTTGCCTCGGCCCAGACAGTCAGGGGGACATGGGGCACTCTCGCACCCCCTCACAGTCTCCTCTCTCTCTCTCTCTCCCCTAGTCCGAGATGCAGATCCAAGACCAGCAGCTTCTGCTCACGCTGAGACATCTTCACGGGGTCCTGGAGGAGCTGCGAGCCGAGAGCGCCCGATGGGAGGAGGCGCGGTCCAGCGCCGGGACCAGCCCTGCTAGAGCCCGGGCGGGCTCTGAAGGCCGGGGCTGCCAGCCGGTGTCCTTGCGGGGGCTGGCCCAGCTCCTCCGAGGGGAAGAGAGCAGGCGAAGCTCCCTTCCGTAACTGGGCAGAAAAGGCACTGGCCTTAGGCCCTCCTGCCGCCGTGTGGACTTTGGCTGTGATGTATGGGAGGGAGCTCTGGAGGGGAGCCCGGGAGCCTGGAGCCTGGACAGGGTTCTGGGGTCATCTCTGGCCTTATCTGCTGTGTTTCTGGATCCATCACTCAACTCTGTCTCTGGTCCCTTTTCTGTCACTTATCAGAGGCTTTTCTGGTTGTTTTGTTTTAAGCATCAATAAAGTGCAGGATGCGGACATTCTGCAACGTGCAAACGTGTCCCGGCTTCAGGAGGGCAGCCGCAGCAGGAACCCCGTCCCTGGGAGTCTCCCACCGACAGTGACGATGAAGGGAGTCGGTGTGCGAGAATGGCGAGCTGGTGTTGCCATGGTGGAAATGAGACCTAGTGACTTAGAGGCCCATTTCTGTCTTCCCAGCAAGCCTTCCTGTCCCTCTTCACCTGACAACCACCGGCCCTGTAGCCATCCTGGCCATGGGGATGTGCCTGTCACCAGGCCTGGCCAATTATATGATTCATTGTTGGCCTAACAACGTGATTGGTTGAATAGGTGAGCATGTGACTCCACAGAGCCAATCACAGTCCTTCCTTGGGATTACTATCTGGAAGCTCGGGTTTCTCCAATTACAAAGCAGAGGCTGTCAGGGGCCCTGTTTCCTGGCAGGTAGAGAAGACCAGTCTATGGTAGGAAAGAAAGAGGCTAATCACTTGGAATGGAACCACCATTTGACCCAGCTATCCCACTCCTTGGTCTTTACCCAAAGGACTTAAAATCAGCATACTATAGTGAGGCAGCCACATCAGTGTTTACAGCAGCTCAATTCACAATAGCTGAACTGTGGATGCAACCTAGATGCCCTTCAATAGATGAATGGATAAAGACACTGTGGTATATATACACAATGGAATATTACTCAGCATTAAAAGAGAATAAAATTATGGCATTTGCAGGTAAATGGATAGAGTTGGAGAATATCAAGCTAAGTAAAAAAAAAAAAAGGCTGAATATTCTCTCTGATAAGTGGATGCTGATCCATAATGTGGGGGGCAGGAGGGGGCGTGGGCAGAATGGAGAAACTTTGGGCAAAGGGGAGGGAGGCAAGGAGAGGGAGCATGGGGGCAGGAAAGATGGTGGAATTAGACAGACATCAATATCTACCCCAACAAATAGAAGCAGAGATGCTGATAGTAGGCCCGCCCTGGCCCCTGGGGACTCAACCCCCAGTTCTTTGTTATGCATGTCAATGTGGCCAGCTCACAAGGCCATGACGCAGGCTTGCGGTTCCCTGTTTATCCGCCTCGCACATATGTGTCTCGGGAACATCTTGACCTGTTCGAGCCTCCTGATAGGGGACGGTGACGTGACGGTAACCCAAGGACGCAGTTATTACTCTCCCCTCCTCACTTTTGAGTAATTTCCTGCAGCTGTTAAAAAGATATATAAGGGGAACAAATCTGGCAATAAAGCGCGCACATGCCCCCTCCTGGATGAAGAACCTTGGTGTCCTGTGTATTTTTAACCCCGACGTCCCTCGCCGGACTCGGCTCCGTTAGCCGGACGCGGCACAGAGAGAGGCCACATAGAGATGGACAGAGAGGAGGAGCCCCGACTCTTTTAGTCCCTGGTTTTGGACCCTAGCTTGTGAGTTCTTTCCAGTGAATTCCACAACTACCACTCCCAACCACATTTGCTGATTTTTTTTTTATTGGTTGTTCAAAACATTACAAAGCTCATGATATATCATCTTTCATACATTTGACTCAATTGGGTTATGAACTCCCATTTTTACCCCAAATACAAATTGCAGAATCACATCGTTACACACTCACATTTTTACATAATGGCATATTAGTGACTGTTGTATTCTGCTACCTTTCCTTTCCCCTACTATCCCCCCTCCCCTCCCCTCCCATCATCCCTCTCTATGCCAAATGTCTTCTTTGATATAAAGAGAGCAACTAAGAACAGAACAGGGAGGAAGAGCATGAGGAAAAGATTAACATTAAACAAAGACGAGTGGGGGGAGAGAAAGGGAGAGAGAAGGGAAAGCATATGGAAATGGTAGGAGACCCTCAATGTTACACAAAATTACATAGAAGAGGATGTGAGGGGAAAGGGGCAGGGAAACAAGGGAGAGAATTGCTGATTTTTTTTTGCTTCTCTTCTATGCAACCAGAATGCTCCCAAGGGATACAAAGGAGCAAAGAAAAATCATTAAGAAAACAGTGTTTCCTTCATTCAGGGTTTGGGACAATGACCTCTGAAATAGTAGGCAACAAGGCTCAAAATATAGCAGGACACTCAATTGTGTGGGATGCATCATCAGGACTTTGAAAATTATATCTGCCTGTCATAAAGGCTCAAACACAAAAGGTGAAACTAAAAAACATCATCGTGTTAGGATGAGCCAATTGTTGGTGTTTTTTTTTTAATATTTATTTTTTTAGTTGTAGTTGGACACAAGACCTTTATCTCATTCATTTATTTTTATGTGGTGCTGAGGATCAAACCCAGGCCCTGCATGTGCTACACGAGTGCTCTACTGCTGAGCCACAATCCCAGCCCCTAGGCTTTTGTTTTTGACCATTGAATTGCATGTTAGAATATTGTTCTTACAACTTGAAAAAGTAAATCCTTTGCACACAGAAGCAGAGTGCAGAGGATGTATAATAAGTACAGTGATTGTAATCAGGCTAACCTGTGATGTTAATAAAATACTTGATAACAGCCAGGTGTGGTGGTGCTCACCTATAATCTCCAGCATCTCGGGAGGCTGAGACAGGAGGATTGTGAGTTCAAAGCCAGCCTCATCAACTTAGCAAGGCACTAAGCAACTCAGGGAGACCCTGTCTCTAAGTAGAAAATACAAAAAAGGGCTGGGGATGTGGCTCAGAGATTAAGGGCTCCTAGGTTGGAACCCTGGTACCCAAAACCAAAACAAACAAACAAACAAAAACCCCTGCTCTGTGCTGCTGAGGCTGGGACCCTGCCAACCACATTTCTAGGTTGCCAGCTGCTTGCTGTTGGGCTTTGTTGTCTTTGCCAGTAAAAAGGGTGGGGTTAGACTGAAGTAGCTACCAGGTACCCTCACCAAAACGACCCTCCCCATAATTATGCTTCTTGTCACCAAGATTTTGCAAGGGTGTCAACACAGTTCTGCAGAAAGCCCTGTGTGGTCTGAGCTCCCTCTGTCTTATAAAGGCCCAGTTTCTCTTTCTTGTAAAAACTAGATCTGCCAGCAAGCTCATTGCCCCAAATTACTATTACTGTTTTTGTTGTGAAAACCTCTGTCTAGCCTAAGAATATGGGACAAAATTTACCTTCATGTAACCACCCACTGTTATGTAAATTCCCACCTCCATGCACACACTGGGTATAAATCTACAAGAATTTTCAGGCTCAGGGTCCAGAGATTTTTAGGCATGAGCCCCTCTGGACTGCCGCAGCTTAAATAAACCTGCTTCCTGCTAATTCTTAGTGACCAGCCTCATCTGTCCTACATCAAGACCACAAGGCAGGAGAGAGAAAGACTATCTTTGTTCCCTGTGGCTTTCCTGCTCCTAAGAGAAACCTCTAGCAATGCCGCTTTCCCTCATAGCAGCACCTCCTTCCAGGGAACTAGCCCTCTCCAGGGTGGAGGTCTCAACCCCATGGGCACTACAGAGCGCAGAGTAGCCAGCTGAGGCCCCACAGGGCTCCTCCTCCTCTGAGGTTTTTTTTTTTTTGGTTTGTTTTTGGGGGGGGGGATTGTACCAGGGATTGAACTCAGGGGCACTTGACCACTGAGCCACATCTCCCACCCCCCATCTTTTTAAAAACTATTGTTTAGTTGTAGATGGACAAAATATCTTTAATTTTTACTTATTTATTTTTATGAGATGCTGAGGATCGAATCCAGGGCCTCATGAATGCGAGGCAGGAGGATACCACTGAGCCACAACCCCAGCTCCCCCAGCCCTTTTTTGTATTTTAATTAGGGTCTCACTGAGTTGCTTAGTGCATCGCTATTGCTGAGGCTGGCTTTGAACTCTTGATCCTCCTGCTTCAGCCTCCCAAGCTGCTGGGATTCCAGGCATGCACCACCACAGCAGGCTTGAGTTTTTTAAATTTCATATAATTTCAGCTTCTTTTCTATGTTCCCTCAGCCCTGGGGGTGGTAGATGCTTCCTGTAATTGCTACCTTAAAGTTCTTTTTATAGTCTTCAGTCACCCAGTTAACAACTCTATACCTAGTTAACACTTCTTTATATTAAATTCTCTGTGATTAAAAAAAAAGAACTGGTGTGGTTTCTGACTCCCACCTGTCCCCGACTCACACAATTGTTTGCTATTCTTACCAATGTCACTGTGATCATTCTTGTTGCTGTCTCTTGGTGCACAAGTGCAAGAGTCTCTAGAAGGGGACAGTTGTGAGTGGAACTGGAGGAATGTGAACACTGATTTACAAGAAACCTGTTTTCCAAGGTGGATCATCATTGACCCTCATCCCAAGCAGTGCATGAGCGGTCCTGGTGCTCTGTATCTAGCCAACAATTGATATAATCAATCTTCTTAATTTTGCTAATATAATGGATGCAAAATGGTATTAGATTGTGATCTTAGGGCTGCGAGTGTAGCTGGGTAGTATAGCACTTGCCTAGCATGTGCAAGGCCCAGGGTTCCATTCCCAGCACCACAAAAAATAAGAATAAAGAAGATTGTGATCTTGAGCTTAACTTGCACGACCCTGACCGCATGTGGTTCAAACCTGAGTTTTAATTCTCTCTCTGCCATTTACTTACTTTTTGATCTTAGTTAAGTCGCTCAGCCTGTCTGGTCTATGATAAAGGGGATGACAATTGTACTTACTCATGGGATCATTGTGCAGATTAAATGGGATAATGCACATAAATCACTTTACACAGCACTTGGCACTGGAAAGGCTAATAAATGGCAGCTTGTCATTACTGCCGTGTGATTATATACTGATCTGTGAAATTGTGACTATT